GAGCTTTTCTCCCATGAAAACGGGATTCATCTGCATGCGAGTGCCCTGCTCTCCTCGGAGAAGCCGGCAGTGGCGGAGCGGAGCCGGGAAGGTGCCAGGCCGGCTCTGCCCTGGCCAGGGAAGGAGCATTAAGAGCTAGTTATGCTTAATATTAAAACTGGGAATTTTATCGCGGCGGTTGTTCGCTGCCCCTGAAGCAAACGGAGACGTAGGCCGTGCCGGTGATGTTGGGACCCCCTTGCAACGCGTTGCGCCCTCGCCACGCACTGCATTGAGCTCCGAAGAGACCGAGGGCAAGGCGGGTGCTCCGGGGCGCTGCTGCAAGAGAGCAGGAGTCGGGGATGCCCTGGGCGCTCCGCAAGGTGCCATCCACCGGGGTGAGCACCAAGAGCCCTTGCACCGCTCGCGGCAGCTCCGGCGGCTCCGTTCCCGCCGTTATCCCTTACGTAAAGGATAACACGGGCACCGTGGAGATGCTGAGGGGTCTCCCAAAACCTGGCACAGCCTCTTCCCAACACCGGAGCCTCATCCCTGGCTTTGCTGCCTGCCCAGAAACGCAGAGCTGGAGCCGTGGGGTTAATTCCCGGCCGCGGGAACGCGTCCGTGTGCGGCTCCCGTTCCCAGCAGGAGCGAGCCGGGCCGCGGCCTCGCTCTACGGAGCGCTCAATGCCGAGTGCCTCCCTTCGCCAGAACTTCTTGGCAGCAGTGCTCTTGTGAGCTGAAATTCCCACAGAAAAAGTGGAGATCTTCATGGAAAATGGCCCTTGAAGGGTTAATTCTGGTATGCCTACTTCTATTTTATTTTTCTTTTGAAGCAAAGAGAATAAACTGTAGCCAAAAGCAAGAAGTCATTAATTTTAGGACAGAGATGTAAGCAAAGTTTCCTTCTTCTATGCAGCTCGGTAGCGGCAGGCTATGCAGTAATTGAAAAGTAAAGGCAATTGAATTGCAGGCTGCTGTCCAAAGCCGCGCGAGGGATTTTTTTCCCTTTTTTTTTTTTTTTTTTTTTACAACCTCCATTGCATCAGAACTAGGCAGGATTCCTGATGTTCTCATGTGTGTTAATGCTGACTCACAGACGAACTTGCACAAGAAAAAAAAAAAAAAGCCGGCGCGCGCAGCCGGGCAGCTCCTCCATACTAGGTAATGCGCCCCACC